GATTAGAAGTCAAGTCTTCCTGACTCCAGGCCTGGGGCTGTATCCACTGTGCCACTTAGCTGCCCCATGTACACATATACACATATGTGTATATATGCATATGCATGTATGTATTCACGTATCCCACAGTACGCTTAACACCAATGACTTTACTCGTGGTCAGGGCCAAGGGATGATTTAGTATATTGGGATAATACACACACATACACATATACATATATATGTATGCACACACACATATCTATATATACACATACGCATGTGCATATACATACATATGTACGTGTGTGTACACACATATACAAACACATACACATGTGTATATGCATACATACATACATATGGAGAGAGAGAGAGAGAGAGAGAGAGAGAGAGAGAGGGGGGGAGAGAGAGAGAGAGAGAGAGAGAGAGAGAGAGTTTTTCATAGCATAGGGATTGATTTTTTACCTTTCTTTGTATCCCTACTGCTTAGCATAGTGCCTGGCACATAGTGGCATGTAATAATTGCTTGTTGACAGACCGACAAAGTGATTACCTCATGTAGCCATCTGAGAATGCTTGCTCTTTCACTGACAATATTGATCAGAGCTTTAATGAATACAGTTTTATAAAGATGAGATGCCCACCCTGGGGTATTTAGCACAAAAGATGCGTTAACATAGTAATATCTCGCATCTAAATGGCATTTTAAAGTTTGCAAAATGCTTCATGCGTCCACATGCATAAGCTGCTGTTGTGAGTGACTTTCATGTTTTATTTAGTACAGAACAGGGAGTTATATCTGGACCCATTAACAGGATGTGAACTGGTAGGTAAGAAGAAATCCGTTTACAGAATGCATTAGGGAAAATGTCAGGTGTTAGGTATGTCTCCATTGCGGCACCACATCTGGTCCCTTTGTCCCCCGCCCCAGGTGGCTCTCTGTTCCCCCCTCCAAGCTGACAGCTGGCACCTTGTGTTAGCTCACACTCCTGCAGCAGTAGGTGGGTTTGGGAAACAAGACCAGTCCTGTCGGTTATTTCTTCATGTGATTCCTCTCTTTCTTAAGTGGTTAAAAATATTATACTTGTGAACTATTCAGATCAATGCCCACTCACGTCAGGGAAAAAAATCGATCTTATTGTCATGAAAGCATTCTAGGTTTAATTTAGCTTTAGTGTTAGAAGTGCTAAAATTCGATTAGACTAATGACTTCCTTCATGCATGAACAAGCTTTCCCTGGTGCTAGCTGCTAGTGCCATTTCAACCACAGTGGTAATCCTGGAAAGTGAATCGGTGACTTCACTGGAGAGTTAGCTTTCAGTTCATACACAGGAGATGACTCTTTATAGCCCACCTTATCCTTGGTGGGCTCAATTTTCAAAATCTTTTATCTCCTTAGTTTTTTTCCCCCTTTTGGATTGGTCTGAATGGTGGTGTAGAATGGATACTTTTGATTAAATATAACTTCTCCTAAGAAAGAGAGAGTTTTCAATCTTTTTGGGGTCATGAGCCCTCTTTGGCAATCTGGTGAAGCCCACAGACCCCTCTCAGAATTATGTCTTCAAATGCATGACATAAAATGCATAGTATTACAAATGAAACTAACTATAATTATAAAAACAAAAATAGTTATAAAAATAATAAAAAAGTAATAATAATTGCTAACTTTGATAAGTTCTTTAAAGTTACTTTACCGATACTTTTTCATTTGTTCCTCACAACAACCCTGAGAGGTAAGTGTTATTATAATTCCTATTTAGAGATGAGGAAACTGAGGCAGACAGAGGCTAAGTGACTTACCCAAGGTCACACAGCTAGTAAGTGTTGGAGGCCAAATTTGAACTCAGGTCTTCCTGACTCGAGGTCAAGCACTCTATCCAGTGGGCCACTGAGCTTCTCCTGGACCTCAGGATAAGAACCCTTTCCCTAAGAGGTCTGGTTAAGTTTTCTGTCCCTTTCTTCCCACCCCCACCCCCCAATCCCCACTTTTTTTTTAAAGGCAATTGGGATTAAGTGACTTGCCCAGGATCACACAGCTAGTATCTGAAGCCATATTTGAACTCAGGCCCTCCTGATTCCAGGGCAGTGCTCTATCTACTGCACCCCCTAGCTGCCTGTCCCCTTCCCCACACTCTTAATGGCACAAACCTGCATGTTCTCTTTGTCCCAGTTTCTCGTCCCTAACTATGAATCTAGTCATTGGAGTCAAACCTGGCATGGGTTTGACAGATGTTACATTTGTTATCTGCAGTCAAGGGTGGAGCTGCCATTGTTGAAAGACCCTTCCCTAGTCGGATTGCTGTCCCAGGGTCCCAGTTATGTACCTCGCTCTCTTAGTCTGGTCCCTGGCCCTCTTTTTGTTTTGATGTCAGATCACAGTGGCCATTCTCCTGGCTCATGGCAAATAGCTTCTGATGCTTAAAAGGAAGGAAAAGTGATTTGCATGGGATCCATGTTCTTGCCTCTGAAGAGCTCACAGACAGGGCTTGATAACAACGGCAGTTCTTTATCCATGTCCGTGACTTTGGGTTTCTCAAAGTATCTTTGTATGCATTATAGTGTCTCATCCTCACAGCAGTCCTGCACTATTAGACAGTGTAATGTAGAAAAGGTCACCAGACCCAGTTGGGCCATTTATAAGCCATGAGTTCTTGGACAAATAGCTTAACTTTGATGATTCTCAGTTTTCTTATCTGTCAAATGGGGATAATAATACCCACATCTCCTATCCCTAAGAATAGCTGTGAAGCCAAAAGGAAAATATGTGTAATAGTACTTTAAATCAATGAAGCATGATGAGACTCATGACATATATATATATTCATTCATTTATTTGTTTGTTTGTTTATTTATTTATTTATATATATTTTGTTGTTCAGTTGTGTCTTACTCTTCATGGCCACATTTAAGGTTTTGTTGGCAAAGATACTAGAGCGCTGTGTCATTTCTTTCTCCAGTTCATTTTACAGATGAGGAAGTTGAGGTCCCACAGCTAATAAGTGTCTGAGGCCTGATTTGAACTCAGGAAGATGAGCATTCTTCTTCTTCTTCTTTTTTTTTTTTGTAAGGCATTTGGGGTTAAGTGACTTGCCCAGAGTCACACAGGAAGATGAGTATTCTTGACTCCAGCTCTGGAACTCTATTCACCGTGTCATCTAGCTTCCCTTTAAATCTATCTATCTATCTATCTAGATATAGATATATAGACATATACATACACACATATACATATACATATCTACACGCATATGTGTGTGTGAGTAAATATATACATATACATATACATATGCATATACTTTATTTCTTTTCCTATTACATAGAATGGAAAAATAGAATAATGTATCCTGGGAAACTGAGTCAGAGAGTCATCCAATCTCATCTTTGGCATTATTACTTCTTATTCAATTATGGGAATCAGGGCTGGAAGAGACCTTCTCACAGTCTAACCTCATTTTAGAGATGAAGAGATTGAATCCTAGGGAGCAAAGCCTTGGATTACAGATTCAAATTCAGGCCTGTGACTTCACATCATTTGATTGTTTCACCATCTATCGCATGCTGCCTCATCTAAATGTTCTCTAAAGATAACAACTGATATAGGGCAGAAAGACATCTCAAACTCAGCAAGTTTAAAAACTAAACTCGTTATCTTTCCCTTATACAAAAGATTCTTAACCTTGGGTTCTTAACCAAGTACCTTTGCATTAACTGTCTACAAGCTGAATTGCGCACTCTCCTCAGCTCAGCTGCATGGAATTTTCTTTTTCAAAGATACAGCTCAGAGACCACTTTCTACTTGAAGTTCCAAACTGCAGTGCCCTCCTTCCCATAATTCCTTGTTGTTTATTTGTGTTTATTGTCTTTATATATTTATTCTATATATACACTATTAGACATACTTATCGTCTTCCTTATTTCTCTGTAAGCTCCTATAAGTAGATATTGTTTCATTCATTGTATTTGCATCTCCAGTGCCTTGCACAATGCCTGGAACATTATACATGCTCCAAAAATACTTGTTTGTTGCTTAAATGTTTGCAAATCACTTTGCACCTTATTTGTATTCTCAAATCTTGTTAGTATCTTATTTGATCCTCATAATAATTCTGTGAAGTATTATAGGTGTTATAATCAACTTACAGATGATACAAGTGAAGTTCAGAGAGGTAGTTCTGGTTCCCAGTCTATAATTCTTTATATAACATCGTGCTTGCAACATCATGGTAGATGTACCTAAATTGGGACTAATCTTTGAGTATTTTAGAAAAGTGTTTCTGTTACATAGCTACATGCATTATCTGGAAAATGAGGTTACACAGAACAATGGGTGCACCCACAAAGGAATTTTAACTCTTTATGGATGGTGGTTTATTTTGGTATGTTTACTCATCTGACAATTTCTCTTATTCTTCTCTTATTTTGGTTGTCAGCATAATGCTCACTTAATACGTGACTAGTTTCTGTTGATGACTTAGCATATCTCAGTAGAAGCATTTCTCAAAAATACATAAAAGATCATTTCTCACTGCCCATATTGGGTAAAGAAAAGCCACGGAAAGCTGAGGCCACTCAGGACTCACTTAGGACTGTGCCTTCTAGGCTTTGTTTGTTTCTGAAAATTCATAAAAGTCTAGGGAATTGGACAAAAAGAGGAAAGTTTAAAAAGCAATGGTGAAATGATTCAGAAGGGGAACCCCTGTGGGACAACTTTGCATGCCTCCTCTGTTAAGTTGGCCTTTGCCCCAGTATAAATCTTGCAGCCAACTGTTGTACGTTTCCCAACTATGAAATAGAATCATTTGTATGACACAGACCCTCACCCCGCTAAAAAAAAAAAAAAAGATTTGATCCTGGCCTTTTTCTGTGCTGGCATAAATAAATAGCTTTATGATTTCTGTATAATTTGAGTTTGGAACACAGTATATTCTTCTGTAATTCTAATCATTGCTTCTCCTCTCTCTCTCTCTCTCTCTCTCTCTCTCTCTCTCTCTCTCTCTCCCTCCCATTCCCTCAAACAGGTTCCTGTTCATTCTCTTAGGTCCCAAGGGAAAAGCAAAGTCTTACCATGAGATTGGCAGAGCCATCGCTACTTTGATGTCTGATGAGGTAGGAATTTTGGGGGGTGGGGAGGGAGGGTGTCGCTGAGGGCAGTGTATGGCTCCATTTGGCAGTCAAGAGAAGCTGGGTTCAACTTTCACTTGTACCATTTAGAACCCATGTTACCTGGGACAAATCAATCTCTCTGGGCTCCATTTTGTTGTGTATAGAGGAAGGGAATATGTGTTTGTGTAGTGCCTCCTATGAGCGAAGTTCTGGGCTAAGTGTGTTTTACAAATGTTATCTCACTTGATTAATAAAATGATCAGAATGAACTAGATGTCCTGAGAGGTTTCTTCTAGCTTTTAGGTCTATGATTCTATAATCTGTGAGATTCTGAATAATAATTGTTCATATTTAAATAACAACCTATGGCTTAAAAAAGCTTTTCTCAGAACTGCTGAATGAAAGTAAGTTATATCAGAGTTGTTAGCCCTATTTTACAGATGAGGAAACTGAGGCTCAGAAACACTAAATAATTGGATCACAGTCACATAGCTATGGCATAACTCAGACTCCAAACTTAGCTCTTCTGTGGCATAGCATTTGGAGCAAGCAGTGCTCTTAAAGGCCATCATATCCAATCCCCTCATTTTATACCGAAGAAAATTGAGGACCAGAAAATAAATGCCACACGTTTATACAAGTTGTTAGCAAAAAAGCCAGGATTCGAACCCATGTCCTCTTGCCTGCCCAGTTCTCGTCTCAGTATGCTATGCTGTAGATATAAAGACCATTGGTTCATCTACTTTACCACTTGGTCTAACCCTGAGATGTTAGATTACTTCCTTATAACTTTTTTCCTCCACATTGAATTATTCTAGTTTACTTGGTATAAGTAATTTCAGTCATCATAAGTAAATTCAGTCATTTTAGTCATGTCCAACTTTCTGTCACCCCATTTGGGTTTTCTTGGCAAAGACAATGGCGTGTTTTTCCATTTCCTTTTCCAGCTCATTTTACAGATGAGGAAACTGAGGCAAAGACGGTTAAGTGACTTGCCCAGGGTCACACAGCTAGTAAGTGTCTAAGGCTGGATTTGAACTCAGAAAGATGAGTCTTCCTGACTCCAGGCCCAGCACTCTATCTACTGCAGCACCACTTAGCTGCCCCTCTTGATCTTTTACAAGACATATTAGGGAATGTCACAAACTGAGCTCAATATTTAATGTCAGTTTTTCAGACAAGGCTATATTTTACTTTTATAACAGTTTCTAAATCCTTTGTTGCAATGACAACTCCTTTCCTTGTCTAAAATGTTTTAATTTCTTAAGAGATATTTGCCTACCTCAAATCTCTTTGCATTTAAATTTTTGAAAAGCATAACTGCATTCAATTAATATTTCCCTTCTTAATGCCTTTTTTGGAAAACATGTTATTCTGAGAAACTATGTACCCTGACTTCTCTATTATTGCTACAGAAATGACTGGCCTAAGGGAAAACAATAAGTGCAAACATTTTCTTAGGTAGTAGAAAGTCAGTGTTTTGCTTTGGGTTACAGAAATAGTGTAAAAGAACAAGAGAAATCTTATAACACTATATAGCAGCTGCTACCAGACAGCACTGAATGCTTTGGAAATGACATAGGCTTGTGAGTTGGAACAGACGCTATAGGCCTTCAAGTTGTTATTCCATCAATTCTCATACTATGCCAAGCATCGTTACCCCCATTTCAAAGAAGGTGAAACTGAGACCTCATTGATTTTAAAGTCACATAGTGAATAGTCAAATTGCCCAAGGAGAGAGAGAGGGGCAGTAGAGATTAGTGGAATGAGCCTTCAATGTGGAGTCAAGAGCTGAGCCTTGGTTTCCTCATCTTTAAAATGGGAGGGTTATTTCTGAGACCCCTTCAAATGCTCTATCATTCTATAATATTGCCCCACAGAACACTAGTGTCGTCTCTATGTGGTGATCACTCTGGAGAGAAGCCATTGTTTCCTGGCTTCCGGCTGGCTGATTGCTTGGCGTGCCTATTTCTTCATGGGGTCCTGCCCATTTCCTTCTCACTAGTGTGAGGTTCTCCTGGGTGACATCCCATTATGTCCTGTAGGGACCCTCAGAAACCTCAGCTGATGGCCATCTGTACTGAAACACATTTGCCATTTGGGTTCTGCTTTTCTCTTGAGGAGACAGATTGGCATCATTACCATTAACTTTGTTTCTTTCTATCTTCACTAAATGTTTCCATCATATAAAGGCAGAAAGTCACTTTGCTGCTGAGGTGAAATATTGACGTCCTGAAGAACTTTGTGGTTTGGTCTCTTCTAATGGTTTCCTGTTTATTTGCTAGCTCTATTATTTGTTAGTCTGAGGAAGAGAAGGCTGAAGGGGTCACTTAATCCCAGGCTTCAAGAATACAGCATTTCCCTGGAGTGTCAGTGAATTGTTAAGTATTCCTGCCTTATAAACAATCAGCTTTAACAACTTAAACCTCTCCTAAGACTTTGGAGATGTCCTGTATGGTCTGCGGTTAACCAAAAATTGTTCTACTGAGGACTGACATTTATATAGCAGGAAGGACTTGGGGGGGGGGTTCTAAGGAATAACTTCTTGCCTATGAAGTTGTCAGATAAAGAAATGTGTTGCCAAGAGAAGTTCTAAAATCTGCTCCTTTGGAGGTCTTCATAAATGGGACCGATCCACTTGTTGTTTGGTCATTTCGGTCCCGTCCAACTCTTTGTGAACCCTTTTGGGGTTTTCTTGCCAAAGATTCCAGAGTGGTTTGCCATTTCCTGCTCATTTGACAGATGAGGAAACTGAGGCAAACGGGGTTAAGTGACTTGCCCAGGGTCACACAGCTAGTATGTGTCTGAGGCCAGATTTGAACTCAGGTCTTCTTGACTCCAGGCCTAGTACTCTATCCTCTGCACCACCACCTAGCTGCCCTCTCTGCCTGCTGGACTGTCTGCTCTTAGAAATGTTTGGTTGTGATCCGGCCTGATGTCAGAGCTATAATAATAGTTAACAACCCTACAGGGTTTTTAGGTTTGCCAAACATTTTCCACACAGTCCTGTGAGATAGATGGTGCAAGTATTTTTATCTCCATTTTATGAATAAAGGAACTGAGGCAAATAACAGCTAAATGATTTGTTTAGAGATGCCCAACTAAATATGAGAACTACGGTTTGAACGCAGGTCTCCTGACTGCCCTCAGCACCTTTCCACCACACCATCCTGACCCCATGAGTTAAAGTTCCCTTCTTTCCGACACTCCTAATAAGTATAAAATGGGTCTCAGTGTGTTGCTTATTTCTGTTCTGTTTCTTGTGGACAACAATATGAGGTAATACTTGAGGCTTGGCCTTGTTTTCAATGCTCGGCCTGAATTCCCTGCTGACTCACTAGTGGTTGTTTGTCTAGTTCTTTCTATTTCAGGGATAGGATTCTTGTGCATACTTCCCCTAAATCATTTTTCATCTGGATCCTTTAGCAAGGGTATAGTACAAATCCCTGGAAGTTAAAGGTATGGTCTTCCTTGATGGCCTGAGTAATTCAGCTCAAGTCAGAGATCGATAACCTCCTTCCTGCCTCTGTTCAGTTGTTTCACTTGTGTTTGACTCTTCATGACCCCATTTGGGGTTTTCTTGGCAAAGATACTCGAGGGGTTTGCCCTTTCCCTTCCCGGCTCATTTTCTAGATGGGGAAACTGAGGCAAACAGGGTTAAGTGACTTGGCCAGGGTGACACAGCTAGTAAGTGTCTGAGGCCAGATTTAGACTTGGGAAGATGAGTCCTCTTGACTCCAGACCCAGCACTCTATCCACTGTGCCACTTAGCTGCTCTGACCTCCCACTACTGATACTGATTTCAGTCTATCTGTAATTTAATTTAATTTAATATTCAGTTCTAGAGAGTGACCTGAGCCTGAGGTTGAGAGAAGCCCACTGTCACATAGCTATTTAGTGTCAGAGGCAGGATTTGAACCCATGTCTTCCTTATTCCAAGTCTAGGTCTCTATTGACTATGCCATGCCAACTGTAGGCTATGAAAACACAATTAAAACCTCTTATTACTGTAGAAGCATTTATTCATGAATTCAGAAAACAACACACTGATACCAAGATAAGAAAGATAGGCAGTGAGCTCTTAACAAGAGTTTTTGAGTGGAAAAAAAGAGAGAGAACATTGATAGTAGAAAGACCATTCCAGTCCTAGCATGGAAATGACTTGGCAACTAATTGGCCATGGTGGAGTGGGGGGAGGTATAACTCTTAAATCTCTAAGCCTGGGTAAGTGGGAAAATAATGATGATCTCTAAGAACAGATACAGAGCAAATGAGAGGAAGGTCAGGTTTGAGAGACAGGAGAGGAATTAACCTTTGAGTTTTATATGTTGAGCTGGACATAGTCCATAGCTAGACTTTCAGGTAGACACGTTCATCACTCCCTTGGAAATGAGAGGCTGGGGGGGCAGCTAGGTGGTGCAGTGGATAGAGCACCGGCCCTGAAGTTAGGAGGACCTGAGTTCAAATCCGGACTCAGACCAAACACTTGACACTTAACTAGCTGTGTGACCCTGGGCAAGTCACTTAACCCCAATTGCCTTTTAAAAAAAAAAGGAACTGTGAGGCTGGAATGCAAGAGCTAATTCAAAGCTGATTTGGGAGTCATTTACATGGACGGGATAATTGGAAGTTGTTCAATTAGGAGAGAATATCAGGAAGGAAGGAGTTTGTAAACAGGGTTGTAAATGTCAGTGTTGAATACTTTAGGCAGAAGGAAGTAGAAAATGGAGGTGGTTAGATGGTGCACTGGATAGAACGCTGGAGTCAGGAAGACCTGAATTCAAATCCAACCTCAGACACTTACTGGCTGTGTGACTCTGGGCAAATCAGGTCCTTCGACTACAGACCTAGTTTTCTTTCCATATGTATCTTATACGTGACTTTACTTACATGCCACTAACATTAGAATGTAAGCCCTTGTTTTCCCTAATCCACTGAAATGACAAACCACTCCACCCTATCTTTGCCAAGAAAACCCCATGGACAGCATTGGCATGCTATGGTCTACAGGGTCATGACAGCTGGATATGGCTGAACAACTGAGCGACAGGAATAAATGGGAAATCCCAATGGGACCATGTAGGAAGTCAAGCAGTTTGCTGGGTCGCATTGTACTTTTAGTCCAGTCCTTGAGGGGTCCATGCTTTCATCCGTGGGATGATTCTTGCTCCTGACACAGAGTGCGCTTCCTTCCCTCATCTGTAGATGGCCTTTAGGAAATGCTCTGGATGAGAAAATTCCGTGACCGATCAACCAATCCACAAGCTTTTGTAAAATCCTGACTCTGTGCCGGCTCTTGGCTAAAGGCTTGGAATACAAAGAAAGACAAAACCAGTCCTGGCCCCCAAAGAATTTACACTCTGATGGTAGTGACAGCATGGAAGCAGAGTCACATAAAAGATACATGTGGAGAGAAAACTAGGTCTGTAGTCAAAGGACCTGGTTTAAATTCTACTTTTGTTGCTTATTACTTGGGTGACCTTGGCATGTCACTTCATCTCTATAGGCCTCCATTTCCTAATATGGAAAATGGAAAGGTCACACCAGATGACCTGTGAGGTCCCTTCCATGATCTGAGAAGCTGCTAGGTCCCTCTACTTTCCGGTGTAGCCTTTGAGGTCCCAAGGCCACCATTAAGCGAGGGTACCGAATCCCCAACTCGCCCTGCTCCCCTACCTTGACATAGTATGGACTGCTTACTTCTTATCTGAAACAATACCAATCTTCTCTTTCCTACAGGTGTTCCATGATATCGCCTACAAAGCCAAGGATAGGCAAGACCTGATTGCTGGAATTGATGAGTTTTTAGATGAAGTCATTGTCCTTCCCCCAGGAGAGTGGGATCCGGCCATCAGGATAGAGCCTCCAAAAAGTCTGCCATCATCAGACAAAAGGTTACTATGTCAGGGAAGTTGGGGGGCTGCTGGAGCAGGGACTGGATTCGCTATTTTGTTCTGTTCCCAAATGACTGAGCTTCACAGGTTATTTCACAAGAAAATCACTTATACCTATTGGTGTCTTGCTTTCCTCTACTGGTGAAATGGAGGGGTATGTGTTTTTGCATTTCAAAGGAGAACTTTCAGTTTCTGCTTAATTGGTCTGAATCAGAGTTAGGACCAGTTTGGAATTGTAAGAGATCTGATGCAGGGAGAGCAACTTGTAGGCTATTGCAATTTTCCAGGTGTAAAATGATGAGGGCCTGCACCAGGATGGTTGGGCATTCCGTGGAAACCTTCTGAAAATGACTAGAATGGTTCACCTGCCCTTCCACATGCTGTATGACTATTCTGGCCACTAGATGCTGGCTAATTCCAGTTAAGGACAGCGTCTTCTGAGGAGTAGTTCTAGCCACATGGGGAGAAGTCCATTGGCATAAGGGTTGTTTTCCCAAGGAGTTTCTCCATAGGCTCACATCGCTAATTTAGCCAATGTGTGATACATCTCCAAAGCAGGTGACTGAATGATGCTAATCTTCCCGTGGGCTCTCTTGGTCTTACACAGGAAGAACATGTACTCGGGTGGAGAGAATGTACAAATGAATGGAGACACCCCCCATGATGGAGGACATGGAGGGGGAGGGCATGCGGATTGTGAAGAACTACAGAGAACAGGAAGGTAGTGGTGGATGCAGCCGGCATTCCTTGTGAGTCCAGGCTGCGGTTTGCTATTACAATCTTTTTTCTCCATGGTTGGGTGACTTTAGACACTTCACCTCATCTCTCTAGGCCTTGGTTTATCTGTCAAGTGGGGAAAAATACTAGTTGTACTACCCACTTACCTTGATCTTATGAGGCTCAAATGTGAGAATATTCCAGCCCCTAAAAATGCAAGATTAGCAGATTTCATATGTCCATTTCACCCTTTTCTACTCCCATATAAAGTTGCATTCAGATCTTATGATTTCTGTCTCCACAACATCTCTTGTGAACATCTGTACCTCTCCATTCACACAGCTACTAAACCAGTCTCTCATCTCATCTTCCTAGTTACTGCCCCAGACTCAAATGTCTCCCTATTTCAATCCATTCTCTGCACACTTGCCAAAGTTAATTTCCTAAAGCACAGGACTGACCACATAAGCCTCCTACTCAATAAACTCTAGTAGCTCCCTATTACCTCTAGGATCAAATATGAAGACCCACAGTTGGCACTTTCCAGTCTTCGTATGCATCTCTCACCTCTCTGCACTCTCCAGTCCAGTTGTACTGGCCCATTTGCCATGGCTCACACATGACTCTCCATCTCCCAACTTCATGTCTTTGCACTGACTGTGCCCCACGCTTGGAATGTTCCCATCTTCATCTCTGCCTCTCACTTCGTGTGGATTCCTTCAAGATTTAGCTCATCCCACTTTCTGTAGGAAGCTTTTCCCCATCTCCTAGCTGCTAATGCCTTTCCCTCCAAGATTACTTCCCCTCTGCATTGTGTAGAGCTTGTCTATACTTAGATATTTACATAGTGTGCCCCCCTTAGACTGTGAGACTGGGAGCAGAGCTGGTTTTGCTTTTCTTTGTACCTTGAACACTTAGCAACTGTGCTAAGTGCCTGATATACGGGAGGCACTAAATCAACGTTTAGTGACTGACAGCTTATAAAAAAGAGTTGTTTTAAAATTTGTTGTCACTTACCTGGCCTGAAATCGGAGTTTCAGGTTTAAATGGTTTGCTTTGTGCTTCTCTTTCTTGCCCAACTCCTTCCAGGAATTGAATGGATTCCTATGGGGTAAAAGCTGACCTCAGAAGATCAGTTTGTGAAGTGAGGAGTTCTCAGGGTTTGGTGGGCTCTGTGGGGAAGCTAGTTCTGTCTCAAGGCCCATGGTGACCTTGCCTTGGGCTGGTCTTTTCTGAAATGAAGATTCACTTGACACAGAGAGTGAAATAGATTTCTTTTGGAAAAAGATGAATCTTTAATCTCTATTATTTACCAGTTCCTTACAACTGTGGTTATTTGTCCTTCATTCTCCAAGAGGGCCAATGACATCAAGAGGGTGATGTCTTGATTTGTGTGTGAATTGGATTTAAGTGAGGGAGGGCTGTGCAGTCAACAGCCTCACTCTCCCCAGAGTCATCGGGGTCCAGTGGCAAGACACAAGTCAGGACGACTGGCGATGGCCCAGGATGCAGTGGGAGATCTTGGCCTTTTTAAGCTAAGGTCTTTCCCAGGTCTCAGTTCATCTGAGGCAACACCCATTCAGTGATTAAGGCTAGGTAAGAAACAAAGCAAAAGATGGCCTAGTTTGTCTTCACAAAAGAATCAGTCTGGGAGGGGAAGACACTCAGTTTATGGCCAGAAGAGAGACAATTGCTATTCATATTCACTCTGAACCATCAAAACCCAAATAATGAGCAAGTGAGGCTTGGGCTGGGACCTATTATTGGCCAATCAGTGAGAAAGAAAAAAAGAAGGAAGGAAGAAAGAAAAAAAAATAGACATAGATGAGTCGACGTATAGATAGAGAGATAAATAATTTATGAAATACTTAGTATATGCCAAGTATTGGAAATATAAATATAAATTTAAAAAAGATAATTTTTAGAGCTTATGTTGTAATGGAGAAGACAAGATATAATGGGGAGCTAGAAAGTGAGGAGGGGTGAAGAAGGGAACCTCACTCTCAAGGAAGAAAAAAGAGGCCTGGACAGAGAAATGAGACAAGAAACATGGCTGGGGCCCTCCCTGAAATATTGATCTGGCTAGAAAGTCCTCAATCAAGGAGCAGAACAGTGCCCCATCATAAGTTTTCTCTAGGGCTGGGTAAGAAGTCTGGAAAATGAGCTGAGCTGGGAGTAGTAAATTGTTCCTTTCTCTCTCTCCATATTTCTGATCTAGGATTCAGTTTTTTATTCCAAACAAAATTTGTTTGAATCTAAGCTATTCGTTCATTATTGTTAGGAAAACATTCCCTCATACCAATAGATTTTTTTCTATGCTGTGCAAAAATAAGTCAAATCTAATGACCCCAAGAAAGAGGAGAGTTACCTATAAATTTTATTATTGCTCTACCATTCTACCAACTATAACAAGGACTATATCATCTCTGAGGTTTCTTTCCAGTTCAAATATTTTGATAGCACTTGGCACTTAGATAGTCAAGAAATAGCATTTTAGTGATTTCAAGAGCCTATATACCAGGATTCTTGTCCTATGATCCATGAACTTGATATTTAAAATTTTTTTTTGATTGCTGTATTTCAACAAAATTGATTTCCTTTGTAATCCTGTGGATTTTATTTTATTTATTTAAAGAACAGTATGAGAAGGAGTCCATGGATTTCCACTTCATGGATCCATCAGACAAAAGAGATGGTGAACCTCTGTTGTAGACAGGCTGGCTGGTTTTACATTAGTCTTTTGCCTCCTGTATCATTCTATTTTCTCTTCCCTTTATTGTAATTTATTTTACATTATCACATTTCCTTTCTCCCCAGGTTCTGTGGTGGACTAATTAAGGACATAAAGAGGAAAGCACCATTTTTTGCCAGTGACTTTTACGATGCTTTAAATATCCAAGCTCTTTCCGCCATCCTCTTCATTTATCTGGCAACGGTCACCAATGCGATCACTTTTGGTGGACTGCTGGGGGATGCCACGGAAAACATGCAGGTGTGTAGTAATTTTGGAGTCTACAAATAGCCAGCCCAGATTGCCTTCCTCGCCCTGCCAGCTCAGTCAGGAGCAGATGGCCTCTCAGTCACTCAGCATGATTCCGGCTTTCTTTTGCTGGAGCCTGCTTTTGACTTTGCTTCTGTCCTGCTGCTGCATTTCTAGCCTTCTAGTGATGGCAAAAATAGCTCCATGAATCTGCCTTGAATTACAAGTCGGGGTTGGGGTTGGGGTTGGGGGTGGGGCAAGGTAAAAGAAAATGAGGAAACAGCCTCTTCTTAAGAGTTGGAGCATTCTGCAGTCCTGGTTTTGTACAATGGGTTTACGTAGTTCCTTTATGCCTTAGGGCTCAAGTTATTTTTATGGAGAGTACCTCATTCTGTGCTTATGCTATTCCTGTAATTTCACAAATGAGGAAACTGAGTCATAGATAAACCAAGTGACTGGCCCAAGGTCAACCAGCAGCTATGAGTAAAAATGGGACGAGAACCAAGGCTTTCTAGTGTGTCAAAGAATCTTTCTTGATTCTATTTACCAATCTAGACTGAAGATGGACAATCACATTTTTATAGCATGAGGGCAAAAAGAAAAAACACAATTGTGATCATATGTACTGATTAAATATGATTGGATATCAGTAACTAATTTTTAAAAACACAATTTGAAAAATTATAAACAAAAATCTTCACAACTTAATGTCACAAAAGCCATGAGTACTATAGATTCAGATGTGATAAGGATGGTTTATTGTAATATGTACCTGGTAGTTAAATCTATACCAAATGAAAATTCTGTGTAGCTATTAACTACTATTTGTATTTTAAAGGTTGAGATCTGCTTTAACAAATAATGCAGTAGATATTATTTGAAATGTGCACACACACACACACACACACATAGAGTATATTATATATGTGTGTGTATTTATGATATTTATAGTATACTACATATATGGTATATATAATATTTATAGTATAGTATATAATATCTAAATATACTATGTGTGTGTGTGTGTGTGTGTGTGTGTGTGTGTATCATCCTTGTTAAGATTTATTTCTGTCTGTAGGATATACTGCAAAGCATACAACAGGGTGTCCCCAAAGTCTTAGGGCCATTTTGAGCTTTAATAATACCTTTGAGTTAAGCCTTTTGAGACACCCTTTACAGTATACTAGTAAAGGTATCTTTACAAAAGTTTCTTATTTTTTTTGCCATAGGCACAGTATGTCCTAGAAAGTGGAGTATAAATAGAATATTATTAGCCATTATTTGCAATCTGAGTCATATTTTAAATGAAGTTAGGCAGCATAGTATTTAAGGAAAATCTGCAGCAGATTATAAGACTTGGCAAAGATGAAAGTTAGATGGGCTCTTCGGCTCATCTCACCTAACTCTCTCATTGGCTGGTTGGCTGTTGTCCTTTGTTCTCGAAGAGGACCAAAATGACATCACTATGTCAGGGTCAAGATGGAGTGTGTCCAACTGTGCCTGATCAGACCAGTACGAGCTCGGAATGTTCTGCCACAGGTTGGGCACAAGCAGTCCATGTGAACATTTGGAGCGGTAGCTCCCTTATTGCCATTAGGGACACTTGAACCCCAAGAGGTGTTGGCCACATACATAGTTAGTATCAAATTCAGGATTAACTCCCAGGTCTCCTGGTCACTAGTCCAGTGATTTGCTCATCACACCATATGTACTGTTAAAAAAACAAAAGACCTTTTAAAATCTTTCAGAAATTTCACAGGATAAATTTTTTTAACTTATAACTTACAATTACTAGAGAATTCAGAGAATGCCCTAGTAAGAAAACCACTATTATAATCTCTTTTCAGGAGAGAAACAAAATGAAACAGATAGGTTAATTCACATGGCCAAGATCATTGATCATAATGTGGGCAGTCATGAACAGAATATAAAATTAACATGTCATAATAATAATAACAATAATTTATGTAGTGCTTTAAAGTTTGTAAAGCATTTTAAAAATATTAATTCATTTTCCCCTGCCAACAACCTCGAAAGAAAGAGGTGCTGTTATTATCCCCATTTTATAGATGAGGAAACTGAGCCAGTCAGAGGTTGATTTGCCAAGGCTCACACAACTAGTTAGATATACTACACATGTACACGTATGCAGCTAGGTGGTGCAGTGGATAGAGTGCCAGGCCTGGAATCAGGAAGACTCATCTTCCTAAATTCAAATCTGGCCTCAGACACTTACTAGCTCTGTGACCCTGGGCAAGTCACTTAACCTTGTTTGCCTTAGTTCCTCATCTGTAAAATGAGCTGGAAAAGGAAATAGCAAACCACTCTATTTTCTCTGCCAAAAAAAAACCCAAATGGGGTCATGAAGAGTCAGACATGACTGAAAAATGACTGAATAACAAATGTATGTATGTACACATATGCACATACATATATGTATACATATATATCTATATTTTAGACTGTTTAATCAATTAAACTAAACAGATCTATTTATTCATTCGCTTTTTAAATAATATGTTTTATTGAAGTAATTTTTTCTGGTGTCAGAATAATTTCTTTTTTTTTGTATTATTAACATTTTATTAATCACTTTCTTAAGCACAGAAAATCAACCAAACAATAAATCCAGCCCTGATTTGTAGCATTCGCCAATATCTAAAGTGAACATTCTCACAATGGGTGTTTTACAATCAGCTTTCTTTTTTAAAAGAAATTATTTAGAATTTTATTTTTCCTTAGTTACATGTAAAAGCAGTTTTTAACATTTGTTTTTAGAACTTTGCATTCTAGCTTCTTTCCCTTCCTCTTTCCTCCTCCATTGAAAAGGCAAGCAATTCCATATAGATTATAGATGTCTAGTCATGCAAAACATTTCCAGAATAGTCATGTTGTGAAAGAAAACACAGGCCAAAATAACTCAAGAAAAATGAAGCTAAAAAAAAGTATGCTTCAATCTGTACTCAATGTGTCAGAATAATTTCTGAAAAAAACAAACCTCCAAACCAGTAAGAAATACTTTCTCCTCCAGAATATACCCCTTTTATGAGAAACAACAATACAAGCAAAAATATCTGATATAATAGACATGTCTGAAAATGAATGCAGATTCTGCCCTAGTGCTCCCCTACCCCTCTGCTTTGAAGGAGATATGCATCATTATTTCTTGTTCACATTGCTTTTTCAGTTATTCAGAGTTTTGATGATTATATATTTGCGTGTGTGTATGTATGTATGTGTATATATGCATATATATGCAAAAAGCATGTGTGTATATATGTTGTGTTTGTGCCTATATAACATATATGTATATATGTCACATGTATATCTATGAATGCATAGGTATATATATCCATATTATAGTTGTAACCATTCGTATATATTGTTTTTGATTCTGCTTATTAACGTTGCTTCATTTCAGAACAATTGCCCCGTTTTTCTGAATTCCTTATATTCACTATTTTTTACTGCACATTAATATTCTATTAACTCAGGGCAGCTAGGTGGTGCAGTGGATAGAGCACTGGCCCTGGAGTCAGGAGGACCTGAGTTCAAATCCAGCCTCAGACACATAACACTTACTAGCTGTGTGACTCTGGGCAAGTCCCTTAACTCCGATTGCCTTACCAAAAAAAAAAATTCTATCAACTCATATAAGGTTTTCATCCATCCTCTAATCAATGGACATCTACCTTTTTGTCTTTTTTTTTGGTGAGGCAATTGGGGACAAGTGACTTGCCCAGGGTCACACACAGCTAAGTGTCACCACCTAGCTGCCCCCTGGCATCTACTTTTTCGCTGCCACAAAGAGTACTGCTATGGCCGTTTTGGTATAGATTACTGGCCTTTTATTTCTATCTTTGACTTCCTTGGACTTTATGCCCACTAGTGGGGTGACTGGGCGAAAAGGTATATAGTTTCATTCCTTTTCTTGTGTAATTTCGAGTTGATGCACAGAAGAGGCAAACTATCTCACAGCTTCATCAACAAGATATTAGTGACTACAGTAAGACATAAGGCCACACCAGTGCCAAGAGAGCCAGGCTTCCATCTAGGCAGCCCATGACTCAGCCGCAGCAGGAGAAAGAGCAGGGAAAGCACCTGGAGTCTCCCAGGAGGCCTTCCACCAATCCCAACAAGATCTGGTTAAGGCTGTTCAGGCTTACACTAAGGGTTAGAGCCAATTCCAGACTTGGGACTGTTTCTCCTGCCTGGGATGAGGATAACTGACAATGAGGGAAAGGCCGAACTGCTCAACATTCTTTCGTTTCTCTTTTCTCTTCCAAAGAGAAATACCATTACATAGGAAAGGCCAAAACAAAAGCAGCTAAGAGGGAGTTGATAGTCAAGACAAGTACAGAATTATTAGGGAGTCCTTAATAAATTCAAAGCACCCAGCCCAGATGAAGGGTGAGCTAGGTACGCTGGCAGATGTGATCGCTGAGCTATTATTGTCCAGTAAATTTTGAACTATCACAGAGCTCAGAAGAGGTACCACAGGACTAGAGAAGTGCAAAAGTCCAAATTTTCAAAAAAGGATTGTCTTTTCTGGAATGGATGTAGCAAACTACAGGCTAGTGAGCTTGACATTGATTCCTGGCAACATAGTCAATCTTATTTCTAAAGGAGTAGCTAACGTTTAGAAAATTAACGAGCATGGCTCCATCGAGAATGCCTCCTGCCCAATTTCTTTCATTTTTTTTTGGACGATGTTACAAGACTGGTATGCAGATTTACTGGTTTACTTAGATGTAGGTCCTCTACTTCCACCGGCTAAAAACACCTTTTATTTACCCTCCTAACAAATTTCCTGATGCCTATCAAGGCCACCTGCCACAGTGGAAATAAAAGAGAAGCTAGAAGTTTTTCAAATCAACTAGCATGTAAAAATATTCTTACCTGAGCTAAATTGTTGGTGTCATTACTTAATGGGTGCAATGTCTAAGGGTGCACAGAAGTGTAAGGGCGTAATGACTTCTAATCCACAAAGTATAAGAAGTAAAAGTATAAGG